TCTTGATCGCAGATTGGAGAAAAATCATCTCCGATAGGAACATTGGAGATTTTATTTGTTGTCATTCATCACAATACAACATCACCAACTGTTGATCAATTTTAAAATCAAATAAAAATGTCTGACTCATCAACTAGTAATGATAATAGTAATAATAATAAATTAGAAATTGAATTTAAACAAGCACAAGACTTTATTCAAAATGCACCAGCAGAAAAAGAACCATCCAATGAACAAAAATTACAATTTTATGCTTTTTATAAACAAGCAACACAAGGACAAGTTAGTGGTATGTTATTATTATATTGTATTCTTGTAGTATTAATATTAATAATAATAATTAAAATTTTATTCATTGATCATGATTATCATCAACTGTCATCACACACATATTAAAATATATTATTTAAAATATATTATTAAAATGATGATAAAAAGGAAAGAGACCAGGTGCATTTGATATTATTAATAGAGCAAAATATGATGCTTGGAAAAAACTTGGTTCTCTAACTAAAGAACAAGCAATGAAATCATATATTACTACTCTTGAACAATCTTCACCTAATTGGAGAAGTTATTTTACTACAAATAATACAAATACAAATAATAACAATTCAATTACAATTAATCCCTACAGTGGACCGTGGTGGTAATGATAATAATAATAATTCTAATAATACAACATCAACAACAACAACAATTGGTATTATAAATAATGTAAATGATGAAATCTTTAAAAAAGATTTATTACGTGGTAAAGTAATAATTGTAACAGGAGGAGGTAGTGGTATATGTTATGGTATAACACAATATTTACAATTATATGGAGCACATACAGCTATAATATCACGTACATTTGATAAATTAGAAAAGGCTTCAAAAGAAATTATGAAAATAGCCAATAATAATACAATATGTTTACCTGTTTCAGCTGATGTTAGAGATTATAAAGCATTATCTAATGCATTTGATAAAGTATTGGAAAGATTTGGTAGAATTGATGTATTAATTAATGGAAGTGCTGGTAATTTTCTATGTCCTGCTTCACATTTAACACCAGGTGGATTTAAAACTGTGATGGAAATTGATACATTTGGAACATTTAATGCCTCTAAATTAGCCTATGATAAATATATGAAATTGAATGGTGGTGGTAATATTATAAATCTATCCATGACATTACATAATACTGCAACTATAATGCAAGTACATGCAGGATGTGCTAAATCTGCCATTGATACAATGACTAAACATTTAGCAGTTGAATGGGGATTAGATCAAGTACGTGTTAATTCAATTCAAATTGGTCCTATTGAAGGTACTGAAGGATTTTCAAGATTACTTCCACAAGATGAATTGAAAAGATATAAGGAAATGATACCACTTCAAAGATTTGGTCTACCAATTGATATTGCTAGAATGGTACTATTTTTAATATCAGATGCTGCCTCTTATGTTACTGGTGCTATTATACCTGTTGAAGGTGCTTCACAATTTACTACAAGTAATATTCATGGTTATCCAAATGCTTTGAAAATGTCTAAATTGTAAATTATTATTAAATAAATTATATAAATTATATGATTATCATTAAATATATAAATTATAATCATGATGTTTGGTAACATGAATAAATTGAATTTTTGAAAAAAAAATAACAACACTTCATCACTACTTAAGATTTTCATCATCAAACATTTCATCAACATTATATTTCTATCGGA